TATATATATATATATATTGCGAAACACAATAACACTTACCATATACAGAATATGTTACAGCGAGCCGCATAGATAGAGACTCCGTCCTAATTCCTCATCGACATAAGCCTTTATATGATAAGTTGAGTCATCGTCTTGTTAGCCCCGGCTCCGTTGTGTTTTGTCAATTTCGCCGACAGCTTTTTCTTCAACGTTATTATATAGGATAATTCTAATTGACATAATAGCGATAATGATCTGCAATGACTCGAAATTCGTCGGCTTTACACAGAATATTTAATGACGTATTAATTGCGCTATTATCTTCTTGAATAGAGTTTAAAAATCAAATTGTGCCAGTGCGTTAGAATGTGATGAGATGCACGACATAAATTTTTGTGTTCCTGTGTTTTGTTCTCACGTGTCACTTCATATACTCACCTTCATTTCCAGATAGCGACATTTTTATTGCAATCTTTCAAGAATTATATATGTGGCTGAAGATACACCTGTTGATGGATATAATACAAATAAATAGCGTAACGTTACAAATGTTAATAAATAATGCTATATTACATTTGCGTTTTTATAATAATGGGACAGATTCGGGATTCTTTTAATAATCGAACAGAGAATATATAAAATAAATTTCGTTATAAATAAATAGGACGCAACAATAATTTATTTTCTATTATCGTACATCAGTTGGCCGGTTAATGTATCCGCCTAATGAGGTATCGAGACGTCGCGATGTCGCAAAAAGAAAAAAAAAAGAAAGAAAATATCATGCGTGATCGCATGGCATACAGAGGACGTTCGATAATAAGCATATTTGTGATGAACTGAATATCACTTTATTGAGATAGTCGCAGATCTTTCGTTTTACTTGCTTAAATTAAAAAGATTATGTCGACGCTTTCGTCGAGTAAGATTATTATATTTTTTTCAATAAGAAATACTGTTTTATTCACAAAATACGCTTGTTGCCGAATATCTTGTCTAATCTATCTATATCTATCTTATCTATATCTAGATAAGTGCACCATTTATATGTATACATAAATATATTTTTTTCACAGCTGCAATAATATCTTTCTGTGAATATGTATAGAACGAACATCGAGAGCGAACACTTGAACATTTCAAGAGCGCCGAGTTCTCACAATCATATCACCCATATCGCAGATTACAACCATTATTGAATCGTACGTTGGGGATGCATAAAATTATAATGAGATTCTTTGATACTCTCTATTATCTAACTTTTTATTAATATTTTATATTATTAAATTTGCTATATAATGCGTACAGTTATTGACTTCTATGTGTTTTATACTCGCATGTCATGCTAACAATTGAACAATTAAGTTATAAAAACAACAGTATTAAGCTGTTTAAATAGTTTTCCAATTTTAGTGGATTTATAAAAAAAGTTTTACGATATAATTTATATAATTTATGTATAATTTTAATAAATATGTTATATTATTTATAATTTAATAATATAATTTATAATTTATAATTTAATGATATATTCTTCATTATGTCGGATTAGTTTATTTGCAATTTTATGGTTACTTTCTTAATCTCAAATACATTGTATGCGACTATTTAAAATAGAATTAATAGTAAATTAAAAGCGAAGAAAAGTGATAAAAAAATCAGCATGATGTTATTGAGAAATCAATAACCATTCTCATTTATTCTTCTCGATCACTGCATTATTATGCTTATGCCTTAGCGATATTAATTTCTTTTCTACATAATTTAAATTTATTCGAACTATATATTTCCAAATTATTTTTATTGCTGCCGCTGTCGTGAATTATATTATTATATTCGCACGGTCGCTTCTTGTTCCTCGAAAAAAACATCTAATTTTAATACTGCATTCACAAGAAACACGAAAGAACCGTATAATTCGTTTGCGATAATGCAAAAAGCGAAATCCGAACGACTATCGGAACATGCGAGATCGTAAGTGCGAAAAGGAATGTTTTCCGAATT